GCTACCATCCCAAATTTTATCCCATCATCACAAGACAAGTAAATATGTTGACACTACCAAAAGCAGTCCCATCCATTGAAATCCTGTCTCTGTTCTCTCTCATCCTTTGTTGACTAGCTTGCAAGTCTCACAGAATTCGGTACCTTCAGCTGACACTCACCTTCATCCTCGATACCCCTTTCAAAATAGTTAAATTCAATATGCAAATTTTGATACACATAGCACAACAAAAGGGTTTTGCCCATATATTTGAGTCCACTGCCATTGATGTGTATTGCATTCAAAAGACTTGCTTTCAAGATGTTCGTTCTATAATTCGCGTGATGCCCTCATTCAATCATTTGGTGAAGTTTAACTCACACTTATCTGGAGAAAGTAAAGTTACGGCTTCCGATCTTGCTGGAGGGTGAAGCGGCTCTACTAGACGAGATTCGATTCGGCATTCGTTTAGGCGCGGTGGAACTTGGTTTTTCGTGCATAGTGGATAGTCGCCATTTCAACAGACTCGATCTGTTTGTGTTTTGTCTTGCACACCCACGGCTTGCATTCCAAAGGAAATCAAACATCACTTTTAGGAAAAGTTTCACGACCTTTCAAATGAAGTGAACCGGGTTCGTTTAATGTTTTCAGCAGACTATTTGAATGCTAGAGTCGGTTGGCTGTTGCTGGAACAATCGCTTTTATGAGGTTAACTTTGGCTGGAATCCTGTCGCTCAGTAAACGGCGAACGATTCTTCGCTGTATTCTTTGACGTGTGGAGTGCATATATATATATATATATATATATATATATATATATATATATATATATATATATATATATATATATATATATATATATATATATATATATATATATATATATATATATATGAATAGCCTTAATCAAAATATTTAATTGGTGAATACATTTTGTTCATCACAATGCTCTTATACATCCACCAACCGTGATTCTGATTGGCTGGAGTTCCTGACCTGGCCTGGATACAAAGATTTACCGGTCCGTGTTCTGTGGGATGCCTGCTGAAACACACAACCTTTCTCCCTATTAGCCCCTCATCGACTTGGCTGGCCAGTTGCACTGTTTTCCGGACTTCTACTTGTAGATACAGCTGAACATTTTACCATTCAGACAAACCAAATGAAAATCGGGTCGAAAATGTACGATGAAAATGCAAAATACATCATAACTGATAATATGTATTTTTACTCACTGTTTCCTGTGTTCCGCTGTTTTTCCCCCTCATCATTGTAGTTTTGCTGTTCTGTTGTAATCATGCACGATTTCAAGCAGACGTTTAATACACAATGGTAATCAACTGGGAGCGGACACCTACAAAAATGAAAAGGTTATTTTGATGCGATTTAGTTCCAATTCGATTCATGTCGGTAATCATCGAGCAAAGCGACATCCGACCGAGAGCCAGAGTGATCTTTTCGAATATTGTCCCTATTCACATTTTATTGATTTGGTGACAAAAACCGGCTGTTGACGACTGTGACAACAGTCCATGGGGGTGAAACAAGGGCACTCGGTACGCATAAACGGCTAAATGATGTGCATCAATAAAAAGAAAGTAGGAAAAGATAATCTGTCTTTGCTTGTTTATCACTGATACTGAAAACAAAATCAGGTTGCCTTGAATATCAGTCCGCGACAATAATTGAAAGAATGGGTATCTAAGCAATCGTATTATATCACTGGTATGTCTAAGTCCAGAAACTGCCGATAGTTGACCTTGAATTTTTCGGTTTTAATCCAAACTAATTAAACACCGTGGGTTTGACGTTTTTGATCGAGTTTACTCTCTTATATCGGTTCACAGGGATTAAAGCAGATGGAATCAGCAGCAAGGAAAGAAAACCTGCATTTAGAAATCGAGAAACTCATCCAGTGAAGCATATTTTCAAACAGATTCCATAAATAACCCAGTTGCAATTCTCTCACTTTGAACGAGAGCACCGGAGACCTAAGCTCTAAAAGACAATCGGACAGTGAAACAATCGGTCCTATTTTATATTGATTTTTAGTGACTAGTACTTATTTAAGAAATATATTATAATAAAGTCATGAATGAAGAGTTATGTGAACATATACAATTTACGAATCACAGGAATTTCGAATGTGTACTTGATTAGCCATTTGGATGGTATGGAAGCATTTTTCCGTTTATTGCTCCGCGTGCTTTCTTGACGTGGTAGAAACCGATAGACAACTTGAATATGATGACTAGATGATTTGTGTACCAGAGAGCACGAACAAAAGGATCAGGTGTTCTTTCGTAAAACAACAACATGCCGGTTCTGATCAATTTAGTATTTGATATACCTCGTTGTCATGGTAATGCTCACAAAATGCAAGGCTATCAGTCGTTTGTAGAACAAACAAAGCTCCATATAAGACACATTTTTTTAACAGATGTTGCAGCACAACCACACGTGTTCAAAGCACTCACAATCACGGGCCATTTTTGTTGTTTTCATGTTTGTCTCAGATAGATTCGGATGGACAAACCAGAATTTCGCTCGACAAATGGGTTATTCGTTCTTACTTTTCCTTTAGTTATTTCATAATATCTGTAAGCAACTAGACTTTGCACACGTATGCGAATCTCGTATGAAGTAACTAGGGTGAATGTTTGTGTTTCAAGCGGTGGACCAACATTTTGGAAATTGAGGGAAGCAAATACAGCTCCAAAATGCATTGAGAATAATCAAATCAACAAGGATATACCTAGGACGATAAATAAGGAACGGCTTGAACGAGCACAGTAGTGTTGCCCGCTTATTGTGCTAGAAAAAATTGTTACACGGGCAAAGTTGCTGTGGCTTTAACTTGCTGTTTTCCGATTTAGCTGAAAAAGTTCAAAACACTGGCAGATTTGTGAATCTTACAGGTGACATTATCAAAGTAACATTGTACTACCATAGAAAACATCAATCATAAATCCGCACTAGCAAGGGATTCGTATTCCACACTGATTAG